TGGTGCTCTCTGGAACAGACATGGAGCTCCCTGGAACAGACATGGCCCGCCTGGAATAGACACAGCGCTCCTGGAATAGACACGGCGCCCCCTGGGACAGCCTTGGTGCTCTCTGGAACAGACATGGAGCTCCCTGGAACAGACATGGCCCGCCCGGAATAGCCTCGGTGCTCTTTGGAACAGGCTGGTGCCTAGAATGGCCACATCCCCCACCCTCCCTGTGCCACTTCAGGCACCTGCCCTGATGTGGTATGTCCAACTCTGTCAGCAAGGCCAGCCCCACCAGAGGCCCCAGCTCAGCCTCCCTAGCAGGCTCCTCTACTCAGGCTCTGGGTCAGCCTCTTCCCGGGAGGTGTCCTGGCCCCTGTGCTGGCCCAGCCTCGCTGCCTGTTCACCTGTCTGTGTCGTGCTGGTCACTGGGCAGGGCCATCCTGTCTGTGGCCCCCGGGACTGTGCCCCGGACAGTGGGCCTGGGTTTGTCCTGGACTTCCTTTTAGGGTAGAGTGCCTGGGTTCGGGTCATTGGAGGAGCGTCTCCGTGGCCACCTGTGGCCTGTTCTGGAGAGGCCCTCCCGGGCTGGGCCAGGGGGTGTCATCAGGGGACAGGAGAGGGGCGCTGAGCTCCTCTCTCCCTCCCCAAGGCCAAAAAACATTCTGCTTCTGAATGTCCACGGCACTCACAGATTCCTTTCCTCCTAAAGCGTCAGCCTTTGGTGAGCAGGCGGAGTTGAGGCTGGAAGGCCACGTCGCCCATGTCCACCTGGTTCTGGGTTTCCCGGGGCGCTCGAGCTGGAGCCTTTCTTGGGAAATTCAGAGTCCCACAGACGGCGTTAAATTGCGGCTCAGCACCGAAGAAGCAGGCCCTGCCCTCTGCAGATGCAGCAGCCCCAGGACGCTGTCCTGGGTCCCCTCTCCCTCCCCGTCGCGCTGGGCTCCCTGATCCTGGGCCTGCTGCCTGGGGCCGGGGCTGTGGCCAGCCCCACATCCAGCGTCCACACTCCAGGCAGGGGCTCCTCAGCACCCGCCCGGGGTGGACACGGCGGTGGACAGGCAGAGCCCGCAGGAGAGGCCGCTTCTCCTGTGAAGGCCGTCTTTGAGGGGCTCCGTGATGAACATGTTACGCTCGTGACACACCGTGAAGGTGCATGTTCCTGGATGCGCCTCCCTCTCAAAGCCTCACTGGCGCACTGTGGCCGGGGGTGGGTGGGGGCGCTTGAGGATGGTGGCGGCCGAGGCCCCACTGGGGGGGTGGGAAGGAGAAGCTGCCAGAGGCGTAGGCACCACCCACCTACAGGACCCTGTGGACGGGTCTGTCGTAGTCCCACGCCGGGGTCACAGGCTCTTTTCCACAACCTCTAGGCCGCCCTCACCGTGTCCCCAACCCCTGCCCTCAGCGCCCACTGGCCTTGAGCTGGCCCGGGGCCTGCCCAGGCACGGCTGGCAGGGGGTGGGGCTTTCTCTGCCCCCAGGGCTGCAGAGCCAACGTGGGGGACTTGAGGGAGACAGGAGGGAGGTCACAGCTGGCCTCATAAAACCGTGAAAACAGGCCCCGCACTGCTACCAGCAGAGAGGCCTCACGAGCTTCCTCCCTGTGTGACCGGGCAACGTCACGGACCTCGCTGAGTGGTGATTCTAACACCAAGACTGCGCTTCATTTCTTTGTGAATATTCAAAGAGTTCGTTTGTGTAAAACACCGAGAGCGTACTGCTGTCTTTCTCTTTTTTATTTATTTGTGTAATTTTTATTTTATTTATTTAGAGATGGAGTCTTGCTCTGTCGCCAGGTTGGAGTGCAGTGGCCCGATCTCGGCTCACCGCAACCTCCGACTCCCGTGTAAGCGATTCTCCTGCCTCAGCCTCCCGAGTAGCTGGGACTACAGGCGTGTGCTGCCGTGTCCAGCTCATTTTTGTATTTTTAGTAGAGATGGGGTTTCACCATGTTGGCAAGATGGTCTCGAACTCGTGACCTCTTGATCTGCCCGCCTCGGCCTCCTAAAGTGCTGGGATTATGGGTGTGAGCCACTGCGCCCGGCTGATCCGATTGTTTTTTTTTTTTTTTTTTTGACACAGCCTCGCTCTGTCACCCAGGCTGGAGTGCAGTGGCGCAATCTCAGCTCACTGCAACGCCCACGTCCCGGATTCAAGTGATTCTCCTGCCTCAGCCTCCTGAGTAGTTGGGATTACAGGCGCCCACCACCACGCCTGGCTAATTTTCGTATTTTTAGTAGACGCAGTTTCTCCACGTTGGCCAGGCTGGTCTCAGACTCCCAACCTCAGGTGATCTGCCCACTTTGGCCCCCCGCAGTGCTGGGATTGCAGGTGTGAGCCACTGCGCCTGGCCTGTTACTTTTTGAAGACAGGCTCATCATCTTCAAGACTCCTGTTGTAGGTAGGATCCTTTTCCCAGCAGATTTTCTGACCTGTGGTTGCAGAATGAGATCTGGAGCCCTCTCTGTCCCTCTCCCTCTCTGCCTCTCTGTAGGGTCCAGGGCAGCAAACGGTGGGCTCCCACCTCATCCCACCTTCCCAGCAGAGGCAGCCTGGGTCAGATTCTGTCTCCAAGGCCCTCGGCTTCACGGATGAGGCAGATGAGTGGGCCTGAGAGTGAGGGGACCCGTGACCGGTGAGGGATGGTGCCGTGCTGGGGTTGCGGGCTGCTGCGTTGATGGACAGAGCAGGGGCTCCCATGCCAGATGCTGGGTCTCCAGGGTCCTGGGCACCCCGCTCCCCAGATGTGAGCCTCTGGGTCATGGGCACCCCACTCCCCAGATGTGAGCCTCCGGGTCGTGGGCACCCCACCCTGCAGATACAGGAGGTCCTCTTCGGGTGAGCCAGGGTGGAGGACGCACGCCGCCCACTGGGTTTGGGGTCTCATCGCCACCTCCATCCTTACCGTGTCCCCTGCCCTGCCTGCAGCTGAGCACA